AACGCTTGGATATCTGCAAAGCCAGTGAATGGGGGTGTATGGTAGATTTATGAGACGCTTCCTTCAATATTTGTACTCAAGTCTGATTTTTTTTCTTAAATCAAATAATACCACACCAAGCAGTGGTGCTTTCAGTATGTAACCCAGGACAAAATGAGCTACACATAGTCTCAAAGCTTCATGCAAACTTTCAATAGTTTCTGTTAAGAACCTTACAAGCTATGATCTTAAAAGTAAATTTTCGGTAAAAAGAAATGATCAAAATCAAAATCCAATATGACCGCAACTAAAAAAGATATCCAAAAACGGCTATGCTTATTTGTTGTGTTCTGTATGGAGACAATCCTCAGAAAGTTTGAAAGCATTTCATGTAGTGGATTCAGAGGAGATAGTATTTCAAGACAGGTACCCCAAAAAACCTGTCAAAAACCTTGAATCCAATATGGCTGCCAAACCACGTGATCAATGACCAAAGTCAAAGAACAAAAAATATCAAAGAACTGAAGCAGCAGATACATGCAAGGTTTGAAAGTAAACGGACAAACGGTTGTGGAGCAGCAGGGCAAAATATATCGTCAAAAAATACTTGTTATTCAGTTATCTGCCCTTGGCCTTTAGGCCTACGGCCTTGGGTTTTTGGCGGGCACTAGTACCCAACGGTCTACAAACCCACATAAAATTTGAACAAAATCGAGTCAGTGGTTATTTTGCTAGGGCAGGTACAAAAATCGGCGGAATAATAAATAATAATAAATAATAATAATAATAATAATAATTAAAGCTGCAAGCAGCAATGGCGGGCTCCAAGTTACACTGTGCACAAACGTCCATGTTCGAATCTTTAAAGGGTTCCCTTGTACCAAATCCGTCACATGTAGGCACAAATTGCAGGGTATTGCCGCTACGAAATTGGCGTGTGCTAAGTCTGTTTTAAACCCATTTCCGACATCAAACATGTTCGAATCCTCAAAGGGTTTGTTTGTACCAACTCTGTCAAAAGATAGTCACCGTTTGCAGGACATTGGCGTGTTCCAGGGGTGTCCCAAATTCTAATCAAATATTACCACCAAGTGTTGTTACTTTTTCCATGCACCCAAGAACAGAAAATAAGATGCATATGATACCTAACTTCATGTAAACTTGCAATAGTTTCTGTCAACAAGCTTACAAGATATGATCGTTAAAGTAAAATTTCGGTAATTTTTTTTATCAAAATCAAAATCCAATACAACCGCAACTAAAACAGATATCCCAAAACGGCTATGAGAGTTTGCTGTGTTGTGTGTGGAGACAATTCTCAGAAAATTTGGAAGCATTTCATGCAGTGGACTCGGAGTTGTTTGCGTTTGAAGACAGGTACCCAAAAGACACTGTGAAAACCTTCAGTCCAATATGGCTGCCAAACCATTTGACCAATGACCAAAGTCAAAGAACAAAATATGTCAAGCAGCTCAAACAGCAGATACATGCAAGTTTTCAAAATAATCGGATAAGAGGTTGCGGAGCAATAGGGCGAAATACATCTTTAAAAACGTCTTGATTTTTAGTTATCTGCCCTTGGCTTTTGGGGCTACGGCCTTGGCGGGCACTAGTACCCAACGGTCTTCATACACATACAAAATTTGAACAAAATCGAGCCAGTGGTTATTTTGCTAGCTCTGGTACAAAAATCGGTGGAATAATAATAATATTAAATCAAACGCTAACACTGGGGCTCTTCAGCCTTTCGGCTTGGGGACTCTTTAACAGGCTGTAACTTCTTTGTCAGTTGGGCTCCAGTCAAACGGATTAGCGTTCTGCGTTCGTCCGGACCCCGGGTTCCTGTCGCATTGCTGAGATAAAGTGCTAAACTTGTTTCCGACATCGTTCATATTCGAATCCTCAAAGAGTTTACCTGTACCAACGCGGTCAAATGTAAGGAACCTCTTGTGAGACATCACCACTACTAAATTGACATGTGCTTGGGTGTCCCAGGATGTTTTAACCAATTTCCAACTTCGACCATGTTCGAATCCTCAAATGGTTTGCTTGTACCAACGCCATCATATTTAAGGAACCGCTTGCGAGACATCACCAGACGTGTCCTTGTGTGTTCTTAACCCATGTTTGACTTCGACCATGTTCGAATCCGCATATGGTTTGCTTGTACCAACGCCATCAAATGTAATGAACCGCTGGTGAGCCATCACCACACGTGTCCCAGTGTGTTCTTAACCCACGTTTGACTTCGACCATGTTCGAATCCCCAAATGGTTTGGTTGTACCAACGCCGTTAAATGTAATAAACCGCTTGTGAGACATCATGACATGTGTCCCAGTGTATTCTTAACCCATGTTTGACTACAACCATGTTCGAATCCCGAAATGGTTTGCTTGTACCAACGCCGTTAAATGTAATAAACCGCTTGTGAGACATCATGACATGTGTCCCAGTGTATTCTTAACCAATGTTTGACTTCGACCATGTTCGAATCCGCACATGGTTTGCTTGTACCAACTCCATCAAAAGATAGTCCACGTTTGCAGGACATTGCCGCTACCAAATTGGCGTGTGCCACAGTTTCCCAGAGTGGACTAAATGCCGACCTCCATATTCTAATCCGCAAATGGTTTGCAAATGGTTTGCTTTTAACAACGCTGTCAAAAATAAGGTACCGTAGCAATTGGCAATTGAGAAATGAAGAATCAAGTCAGCGAGTCTGATCACCCAATCCGATTAGTCGCCTCCTGTGTCAAGCATAGTTGCCTCTTGAGACAAGCATCGTTTGAAAAAGGCCAATTCTAACTCTGGTCGTCAAGGGTAGTACACATAATATTGAACAAGGCTGTGGAGAACGCTAGGGTATCTGCAAAGCCAGTGAATGGGGGTTTATAGTAGATTTATGAGGCGCTTCCATCAGTATTTGTACTTGGGTGAATTTTTTTATCAAAATCAAAATCCAATATGACCGCAACTAAAAAAGATATAAAAAAACGGCTATGCTCATTTGTTGTGTTCTGTATGGAGACAATTCTCAAAAAGTTTGAAATCATTTCATGCAGCGGATTCAGAGGAGATAGTATTTGAAGACAGGTGCCCATAAAACCCTGTCAAAACCTTGAATCCAATATGGCTGCCAAACCATATGATCAATGACCAAAGTCAAAGAACAAAAAATATCAAGCAACTTAAGCAGTAGATACATGCAAGGTTTGAAAGTAAACGGGCAAACGGTTGTAGAGCAACAGGGCAAAATATATCGTCAAAAAATACTTGTTTTTCAGTTATCTGCCCTTGGCCTTTAGGCCTACGGCCTTGGCTTTCTGGCGGGCACTAGTACCCAACGGTCTACAAACACACACAAAATTTGAACAAAATCGAGCTCGTGGTTATTTTGCTAGGGCAGGTACAAAAATCGGCGGAATAATAAATAATAATAATAATAATAAATAATAATAATAATAAATCGAACGATTACAATAGGGCTCTACAGCCTTTCGGCTTGGAGCCCTAATAAATCGAACGATTACAATAGGGCTCTACAGCCTTTCGGCTTGGAGCCCTAAAAATACACCTTTTCTAAGGTCGAGCAATATTCCAGCAGCTCCAGCCTTTGGTGTTTACATTTCACAACTTATGAGATACAATCGAGCATGCTCTTTTTGCCAAGATTTCAAAGGGCGTCAGTCGACTCTCGATCAGAAGTTGTTTGATCAAGGTTACAACATTTAAGGCCTCAGTGAATGTTTCAAAAAGTTTTATGGTAGACGTGTGGAGGACATTTCCAAATTTGACGCATCAATGACAAAAATAATGTCGGCTGCAATTCCCCATTTTGATTTGTACCATATGTTCCCATGTTTTTTTCAGGTGAACAATTGACTTGTCTTTGCATGTGTTTGTGACGGGTGCCACCGGTGGGACAGGATACGCTCACCTTTTCGCGAACACCTGGTATCATTACTATTTGATAGTGATTCATAAACACATGCTCATGATATTGTACAATCGACTCTGCTTTATGCAGAGATTTCTATTGGATATTAAAAGCGTTTCGTCGCTTTATTTATTAAGTAATCTATAAATATGATTCAAGCTTATTGTCAAATGTGAAGATTCGATATGTGGAACATTTAGATGACTTTGCAACACCTACGTTCCAAGTTACTAATTTATTGTTTGCGTGAAATGATTAATTTTCACAAAGAAGATGATATAAAACAATTCCATATAAGTGAGCCATTTCAACATTCCATCATTGGTAATTGTATCTTGATACCAGAAAATGTATTAACTATTGGACAGTCACTAATTTTTCTATATACACCTTCGACCAAATTGAAATCATTCTTATTTTATTTTCTACGAGAAGATGAGTTCTACCCAGCTCTCCAAATGAGGTCACGGTGTGTCGAAGTCGGAGTGCGAGACCGTCAGATTAACGGGTCTGAATAGCACTGATTTAATCGATTGCCATCATTAGTGTCGGATTAACGAGTGTCGGATTAATGAGACTTGACTGTATACTGATATCGTGATGAAAGCTGTTCAAGATCCCAGCTAATCCTCCGCCCGCCTCACTCTGTTATCTCGGCCTGAGAGAATTATAATTATGTTCTGTTCCGAGAAAACAAACACTATCATTAAAGTAGATAACTGATATCTGTACAATCAGTGTTAGAAACGTTCAAAGTACCTCACTTGACTTTGGAGAACATACTTTAAAGAGGATATTTATCTCTGTAATTCAATGTAATGACAATAATTGCTTCTGCAAAATCATAATTTTTATTTCGAAAATATCAGTAGTAATCATTTCCCATTTCACCTGACATGTTCATCCAGTTAACGTAATCTGCACAGTGATTGAGACCCGTGAAGATTCCGGGGTAGAATAGGTCTTCAGCAACCCATACTTGCCGTAAAAGGCGACTATGCTTGTCGTAAAAGGCGACTAACGGAATCGGGTGGTCAGGCTCGCTGACTTGGATGATGAATGTCATCGATCCCAATTGCGTGGATCGATGCTCATGATATCAATCACTGGATTGTCTGGTCAAGACTCGATTATTTACAGACCGCCGTCATATAGCTGGAATATTGTTGAGTGCCACGTTAAACAACAAACCAAATCAAACCAAAGCACAGTGCATGATAGAAACGTTCAGAACAACTCACTTTCCTTTGGACGAAATGGTTTGAAGCTGCATCTCACGGTACGTGCCTTGGGTTATCCCATAACTGCTGAGCGTCAGGCAGGGTCACAACAATAGCAACATTTTAACGTCCAGGGGATGGAATCAACTACCTTTCGCTCCGACTACTTTAAAGTATACTTTAGCAAAACTGATATACAGTAAACTACGGTTATAACGAACACGCTTATAACGAACTGACGGATATTACGAACTTACATTTTTGGTCCAAACTATTTACTGTAGTTATGCTGTATATATGCTTATAACGAACTACGGTTATAACGAACTACAATTAGTAGTCCCTTTGAGTTCGTTATAACCGTAGTTTACTGTATTCAATCTTTAAATGATCATACCAGTTCCACATCAAAAGTACAACAAAGAAATATTTGAATTCAAATATGTTAGTCTGTCATCAACAAAGCACATTGATAGCAAAGGCAAACCATTAAAAAGAAACCAGAAATTATCAGCAACAAGAGTATATATCGATATAAACATGCAAGAACGAGTAGTCTCCCTTGACCTTATGACTGACATCCTCAGCAATGGCCAATCACTTACACGACATGGGACATTATATTAACATGGGACTTTGTACCCTTGCGTGACCTCATTCATGTGAACTTGAGAATTTTGAATGTTGGATTGTTACCTTGAATGTGAAAATGAAGCATTACAATTTATGCTATTTTGATTAGTTGAGGAACTGGGCATTCGGAAATTAATTCAACTGAACAAAACATTCTTGAAACATCAAACTTTCTGGGAAATATCACTAAATCATTATTAAAATGCTGAAAATATTATTATTTATCCATTCATATGACATAGACATCAAACTACTTTAGATTTGTAGGATTCCAACTAGCCAACATGTAATCTGTATCTGATGACAAATAACAATTCCAAATATGAATGAACAAAACTCAAATTCTTAAAAAACACATTAATTACGTTGATCTGAGTAACACAACCGACAAGATTCTCAGCAATATTATAAGGGACTAATCACAAATTACATATCATTCTAGCGTTTCCGAAGTGGCATGCTTGTTTTCAAATAAGTTTCTCGAAAATTATTCTTTTCGAGTGTGTTACCGTTTCTACAATTCATAACACTACGGTTTCAGTCAGAGCAAAGTGATAAAGTTCTGCAAATCCCCAACCTCGTCCATTTACGAGCGTCGCTATAACATAGTGCAGCGAACAAACACTTTTGAAACGCCATGAGCTCTGATAAAGCCATAGATGACCACGCCGGCTCTTCTCTAGCCATTCCTGCTTCTGAAGAAATGTATGCATATAAGCGCTATGATGCTTAGCAGGAGGCCTGTCGGCAGAACATGAATCACGACTACAACGACGGTGAGCACCAGCAGTACTTGCAATATCCAAACAAGGGGCGTCACTGGAATATGTGGCATTGTCTGAAAGCGTAATAAAATTACTTTCAAGAATTATATCTTTGATACAAAAACGATATAAGCATCGAAACGTTTACGGTGAATTTAGAATAATAACGAAAACAGGTTACATCGATATTGTTACAATGGGAAACTAGAATTGAAATATGAAACATACTGAGAAATGCATTAATACATATAATCTATATGTACTTTTACCTCATGCAACTATTACATGCTTAGCTTAAATTGAAACTTCATGGTATGTAGACATACAATTAACATCCATTTAATCGTACCTGCGATAGAACTGGTGTCGTTTTTGTAGCATGTCTGCCTGTAATATTCAAAATAAGAATATCTCCTAGACATCAGTCGGCTTGTGCAAATCTGCATCTTACCATAGAAATACCTGATGTCTCATTCTTCTAATGGGATAGAAAATCAAGTAAATTGTCTTTGTCGTAACCTTGACACTTTACATCAATTCTTCATTCTGATATTACGATTTAAATATTGTGGGAGGCATCTTCTAAGGCGCCGCGATTCGCTGTGCATGCGCAGATTTGAGTCCGCCAAAAACCTTTAATTGGGGGTTCGAATTCCGGTTCGCCCCGATTATGTTTCTGGGTTTGTCAGCACCATACCCGTGCTCGTGGGTTTCACCGAAGTGTTTAACGTCTAAGACCTGCATCACTTTGAGCTTTCCTCCCACATTAAGCAGACACTCAGTGATTTGACTGGAATACTGTTAAAAGCAGCGTTAAACACAACTCACTCACTAAATATTGTGAGGGAATATTGCTCAACTCAACAGGAGCAAATTGAATCTCCATCATCAATTTCCAATACTTATAAACAAATGTGTGAAAACTCTTTAACAAATGATAAACATATTCTAGAACTCATGTTTCTTGGATTTATGATATGACTGATTAATATTATAATAAGGATATGGAATGGGTGTTTGAAAATTAATAAAAACTTGTATTAGTTGGACTTTGCACCTACCGACATGTTTAGTGGGAACCATGCTCGTAACCTGTGGCACCAGATCTTCAAAGGCTAGCATCTCCCCCTCATCAGGACCGCACACCTGCTCAACTGGATTGTGTCCCACTTCTTTAGCATCTTCGTAGATGATCTTCCCACGTGTTTTGGTGGCCTTCTCTAACGCGAAATCTTCTACATCTACAGATGCGCTGGGTTGGTCAATGTTTGCTGTTGCTGTACCTTCCGAGGTATGATCAGCAAAGTCTGACTTATAGAACCTCCCAGGTGCATCAATATAACTTGCAGATTCTTCAAAATCAGCATCAGCATCCGACTGGCTGTCTTCATTGAAAGGTGCGTAGTTCTGGACTTCAACAGGGGGAGTTTCGTCAGAGTCTACAGTCTCATCTGTACTGAAAGAGTCACCACAGGGGATTACCGTTTCACTATGACATTCAGTGAGGTGTGTTGACTGCTCTCCATGTGAGTCTTCATCACCTAACCCAGACCTATTGTAAACGGCTCTAATATACCCAGTACCATGATCTTGATAGGTATCAGACTGAGGTTTGTCTGCAGGTTTGGATGGCTTGTCCTCCAAGCTGGAACATGAATACTGTATAAGGATATCAAGGGATTTTGACCTTCGGAGAGGTTCCCATGTGTGAGTTGATTTCGGAAACTGGAGTGACATGAATTTTATTTGATCATCCTGTGACTTATCAGCGGTGAGGTTGTCAATGAGACCACACACACAACAGATTTGACTGACCTTCTCAAGCTCATCCCCAATCTCTGGATTAACCCTTTGAATGAGTTGGACAAATATCATCCTGGCCAATTTCTGTTGATTTGAGTTTATCTTTCGTAAGAGTCCGCGCCATTTTATTCTTTTTGATACAGATGTTTTTTTCAGGTCTTGGTAGAAGTCTTCCGACAAACAGCCGAATTCATTCAGTGATTCCACAACTGGCATAATCTTCACTTCAGCCATTAGCCTACACATGACACACACGTGTTGCACCATTGTGTTGGTTGGCGAGGACCTGCAACGAGTAAAAAGGATAAACATGTTCAGTGGAATATCGGTTATCGATTACCACAATTCCATCGGCAACATATAGATGGTATGTATAGTTCATCGATTGACCTTCCAAGCTGGTATTTCATGCGGTGCGCAACCATAGTGAAAATGTCAACTTGGTCAGGTCAGAAAATAACTAATTGTTTGACAAGAGAAGACATGTGTACAAGTTGTTATGTATTTTCTTTGCGATTTTCATGACTCCGAGGGGGCACGGGTGGCCCAGTCGTCTGAGGCGTCGCGATTCGCTGTGCAGAGTTGCGTCCATTGGGCACGACAGAAAGCTATGATTGTGGGTTCGAATCCCGGTTCGCCCCGATTATGTTTCTAGGTTTGTCAGCTCCATACCCGTGCTCGTGGGTTTCACCGAGGTGGTAAACGTGTGAGACCTGCATCTCTTCGGGCTTTCCTCCCACATTAAGCTGACACGCCGCATTATAACTGTAATACTGTTAAAAGTGGCGTTAAACCCAACTCACTCACTCACTCATGACTCCGACCATAGTAACATCGATGCAGACTCAAAGCATTTCAGTCGGTTTTACATTAAGATAAATACCGTATTTCGTCACTAAAGAGTTGCTACAACGAGTTTTTTCCTATATACGAGGCAAGGGAAGTGTTGATGTGAAACATCGGTACAAATAGAAATGTCTGCAGGAACCAGACAGATTACACTGACCTACCGATTATTTGGAGTCGTGGTTGAGTTTAGTGAGTAAGCAATATATAGTCGAATATTGATATGCCAAACTTGGAAGTGTCGAATCCCCAATGCTCCCGGCAAATTCCTTCTATATTTATCACCATTTATACTCGGATCTGTCTAACTGGTTGTATCGCATTCCCGGTTGTCTTGAACTCAGTTGGGAGTCCCAAGTATCAAAATTAAACTTGACATACCCCCTGATGACTCGAATAGTTCAAAATAAAAAATAAAGTTGACATATCCACACTAGCCAACCTGTCAGCTCTCTTCACACACAATTGATTGATCTCACAGCGATTGCCGCAATTACAGAAAAGGCAGGATGCTTTCTAAAAAACTGAACACCACATGCCAATATAAAATCAAACCTAATGAACAAGCACACCTAAAATCAAATAGTAATTTGATTATAGTATACAACATGTTTGTTTGTTTGTTTGTTTGTTTGTTTGTTTGTTTGTTTGTTTGTTTGTTTGTTTGTTTGTTTGTTTGCAATATTCCAGCTATATGGCGGCGGTTTATAAATAATCCAGTGATTTACGTCATGAGGGTCGATCCACGCAATTGGGATACGATGGCATGCATCAACCAAGTCAGCGAGCCCGACCACCCGATCCCGTTAGTCGCCTCTTACGACTAGAATGGGCTGGATAAAAGTTCGAATCCGGATCGTCACGGGTATCAACTACAGCTAGCTGATGGCGTATATAAGTAGTTAACTTACATGTGGGGATATAGAACAAGGATGACAAGTCTTAAAATATAAATAAAGGACGTGTGTGATATGTGGAATGAGAAATCGAGTAAATCACACCTCCGGAGAGCGAAAGGTCGAGGGTTCGATACCCAGCCGCGCTTAACCAATAGACGTTAACGGATGGTACTTGTTGTTACCCTGCCTGGCGCTTGGCAAGAGGTCTGAAACCAGGACTGGTCGGCTCTGAGTCAGTATACTGTGTCTGAGTGGGGTATCCATGTTAAACTGTGACTGTATCTCAATGGGCTGGCGCTATAAAATTGGCATTAGCCCGGACTAGTACAAACAGCCACACACACACACACACACACACACACACACACACACACACACACACACACACACACACACACACACACACACACACACACACACACACACACACACACACGCACGCACGCACGCACGCACGCACGCACGCACGCACGTCGCTATATAAATGCAATAATAATAATGCGACGTTCAACCCCATTTCATCTCAACTGTATCGAAAAAACAGATAAAAACGAGTAGCTTACTAGTTAGGTGTACAGATTAACCCTTTCGTTAATTTTTTTTAAAATTAGTCATGTTGGAAGATGTGTCAGTTTCCGCGTACTGAGGTATTTTTATCCCACACTGCAAACGAGTCACATGTACATCACGCGATGATCACGTATTGCTGAAATACTGCTGAGTGCGGCGTTAAACAACAAACAAACAAACACACATACATATGATATTCACTTTTCGCTATTTAAAGACACAACAATAATGATAGATTGGGTGTCAGTTTAAGTAAGATAGCTAGTTGTTGTATATTTGTTTCGATTGCAGTGCGGAATATCTGATTACCAGTGCTCACTACATACATGCATCACAAGTAGTTTCGAGAGCATATTCCTTTTATTACCATGCATTTTTGTTTCAGGAAAATTCACACATACCTGTTCTTAGACTTTGATCGTCTTCTTGTTGAGTGTTAAAGTATGTATAGCCTGCCAGTAGTGTGTGCAACGAACAGCAATGATCTCCACGCTACATCACAACATGCATCTCCCTAGCTGTACCAACATAGCAGTAAGTAGGTCGTACTGAAATACAAGGGAAGCAGAACACATCCTTGCGGAAGTCCTGTTCACGTGTTGACATTGAGATTGCGTGATTTGTTTATCATTCTAACCTTCTTGGTTCGCTAATATAAACTATGAACTTGACAATGTGTGAGGAACAAAAAAATATAAAGAGCTTCCAATATCAAGGTGGTGAGGTGAGGTGAAATGGGGTTTAACGTCGCGTCCAAGATTATTGCACTTATATAGCGAAGTGCATGTACGTGTGTGTGTTTCTGTGGCTGCTTGTACTAGTCCGGACTGATGCCAATTGATAGTGCTAGCTCACTGAGATACCATGCCGCAGTTTAACATGAATACCCCACTCAGACACAGTATACTGACTCCGAGCCGACCAGTCCTTGTTTTAGCCCCTTAATGCCGAGCGCCAGACAGGGTAGCAACAAGTACCATCTTTTAACGTCTTTTGGTATGACGCGGTCGGGGATCGAACCCCGGACCTTCCGCTCTCCGTCCAATATCAAGTGTCATTCGAACCGCGATATATACTGCAGTATAAGTAATATTGCCGACGAGTGTCATCAGTATATACTCACGACACCTGAAAGTTGTAACAAGTTCGAGTGGTCATTATGTTTTTCACTCAATCTATTTGGTCATCCTTCCATATGTGATAGCCAAGTGGTTAAAGCGTTCGCTGATCACAAGGAATGTCCGGGTTCGATTATCCACATGGGTAAAGTGTCTATATCACATTGCTGGTGTTCCTGTCGTGATATTGCTGAAATAGTGATAAAGCGGCGTAAAATCCTACTCACTCACCCTTCCCGTCCACAAGTGAACATCGTTATACCATCTTTATATATTTTCTATCGACCATATTGTTTCATTCGATATTGTACATGTATATAATTCGATTACAGTAAACTACGGTTATATCGAACACGCTTATAACGAACTGACGGATATAACGAACTTACTTTTTTGGTCCCGACTATTTGCTGTAGTTATGCTGTATATATGCTTATAACGAACTACGGTTATAACGAACTAAAATTAGTAGTGAATGAATGAATGAATTTCTTTATTTCCTCCAGAGTTGAACCCGAAGATTTTACATGGGCAAATACATTATTTACAATACATCAATGAAATTACTTGACTATATACAATGAAATCATGTTATACACTGCTATGAATAAATAATTTACAATGTACATTTTGAGAGTAGTAAAGTGTCTAGTGTCTTGTTACCCTCAATTAGTTTGACTGCTATACAACATTAGACACATACTTCCCAGTTGTAATTTCTGATATTTTATTTTACCTGACATGGACTACACTTGTAACTGTCATACAATCAGACATCAGTTCTTTTTATACAAATTATTCTTGTGTTTATCAACCAGCTCCAAGAATTCCAAAACGTCCTGAAGTAGCATGGCTTTTTAGGCAAGTTGCCCGTTTAGTTAGTAAAACTTTCTTGATAATCTACTTGCTCTAGAGTGTCCATATGTTTGCGATGATCATGTTTCGGTTTATTTCTTTTTACTATTGTAGTTCGTCCCAAATTCGTCCACATCATCGGCGCTCTGTAAGTTCCCGTGTTCATGAGATTTACTGAAGTGGTAAATGTCCACGATCTCGTCGTGTGCTGTCTTCTCACATGAAGTTGACACAGCTTGATAGACCTGTTAGAAACGGCGTTACATTCACTCACTCAGTCACTCAGTCGATCACTCACTCACTCACTCACTCCCTCACTCACTCACTCAGCCACCCACCCACCCACCCACCCACCCACTCACTCACCCACTCACTCACCCACTCACTCACTCACTCACTCACTCACCCACTCACTCACTCACTCACTCACTCACTCACTCACCGTAGCTGCGTGTTTTACTGTGTGGTAACCGCAAAGGCCCTGCACCACTTCTGGCTTTCCTTCCGCTTCAAACACGGAAGACACAGACACGAGTAGTTCTCATGAAACACTGTTACACTATTTGATTATGATATGTACACATTTCTCTCTGTCCACTGTCAACAACGTAAACACGTCGACAACAACAACACGGAAATCGACGTATTTCGTTTCGAAAACTTGTCAATAATTTCAATGTCATTCGCATATATTTTTATCAAAAACATATTTGAGGGAAAGAATGACAATGTTCAAACTTACTAATAAAGTTGTTAATTTCATCTGTTCACTTTTCCATTACTTCACACACGTGTCAAAGAAACTACCACGTTAAGCTACCCTGTTCATCCACCCTGAATGAGACACATGGCGTGGGACTGAGATATAGGCCCGTTTCAGACATCTGTCCAGATTACACAGATGTCCAAGATTATTGCACTTATATAGCGACGTGCATGCACGTGTGTGTGTGTGTGGCTACTTGTACGCGTCCGAACTAATGCCGATTTTATAGTGCTAGCCCACTGAGACACCATGCCGCAGTTTGACATGAATACCCCACTCAGACACGGTGTACCGACTCCGAGGCGATCAGACCTTGTTTTAGCCCCTTAATGCCGAGCGCCAGACAGGGTAGCAACAAGTACCATCTTTTAACGTCTTTTGGTATGACGCAACCCGGGATCGAACCCCGGACCTTTTGCTCTCCGGGCGAACGCACCTTAATGCCGAGCGCAATAATCTTCTGCACAGGTTCTTGTAGGTGACCCGCCGTGATATTGCTGGAATATTGCTAAAAGCGGCGTAAAACCTCACTCACTCACTCACTCACTCTTGTAGGTGATATTACTTGTATCGATAACCAGTGATGGTCCTTGAGAACTGGTGTAATGTGGTCACGTTGTGGACATAGGGATATAGTCTTGGCTGCTGTATTCTGGATGCGCTGCAGTTTGGCAGTGAGAAGTTTGGGTGCACCTGTCAAAAGAACAATACAGTAGTCTACTCGAGACAATCAAGGACTGAACAAGTGTGATAGCATCTCTTGTCAGATATTTCCGGATTTTTCCCACGTTCCTGACTTGCTAGAAATGTTCTTTATATGTTTTTCTGGGCGAAGTTCCGTATCGAGTAGGACACCAAGGTGTCTATGTTTTAAACTGTGTCTATTAATTCACAGCGTCCAGATTAACAAGGTTTCACTTTATGGCACACATGTTTTGTTTGTTGTTTTACGCCACACTCAGCAATGTTCCAGCTGTATGACAGGGGTCTGTAAATAATCGAGTCTGGACCAGACAATCCAGTGATAGATATCATGAGCATCGATCCACGCAATTGGGATCGATGACATTCATCAACCAAGTCAGCGAGCCTGACCACACCCTATCCCGTTAGTCGCCTTTTACGGCAAGCATGGGTTGCTGAAGACCTATTCTACCCCGGATCTTCACGGGTATCCATGTATCAGTATATATCCTCATCATGACATGTACTGTTAAAATTTATTCAAGGTAAAATCCAAAAAATACACAAACATTATACAAGCATATTGCCAGGGACATATTGATAACTTCACCTACCTTTAACTACAGTATAAATAGGAGATACACCTAGTGTGTTTTCGATGTAGAGGTATCAAACATATATTCGAACCCTGCAAAGGACAAAGTAACACTCAGTATATGATTCGTGCCAGTTATATTCGCCCAATACAAGATGGCCGCCGTTGGTTTATATCACCACCAACAAAGTTCCAACGCCGTGAAGTGTAATACACCTACACCATAACCTATAACACTCAGCTTCTTCTTCTGAGGACACAAGCACTCGGGACGAATCATCTCATGGCCTTTCCCCTTTTCACTGAGACTGAGACTCGTAAGAAACTGCTTCTGTTCCAGAAATGTTCATCCTTCACTTACGCACCGCTCTACACCGCTTTACACCGCTTTACACCGCTCTACACCGCTTTACGCCGCTTTACGCCGCTTTACGCCGCTTTACGCCGCTCTACACCGCTCTACATCGCTCTACACCGCTCTACACCGCCTTACACCGCTCTACACCGCTCTACATCGCTCTAAACCGCTCTACACCGCTTTACACCGCAGTGTTCCTGTGTTCTACATCGCTTTACACCGCTCTACACCGCTCTACACCGCCGAACACGTTTTGTCTGTCTCCGCCTTCACCAGTACCGTCTTCACAACTACGCGCCCGTAAAATCACACGTATTCAAAGGCTGTCATTCCTGGTTAGTAGATTTAGTGCAGATTGGTCTCGATCATTAAAGGATTTTCGTCTGGCCTTTCGTGGAATGTCCACAGGACTGTATGACAAGAGGGAAGACTTCAACTTTCAAATAGTTAACTTTCCCTTCATGTCTAGCAATATTCCAGCAGTTCCAGCCTTTGGTGTTTACATTTCACAACTTTTGAGATACAAACGAGCATGCTCTTTCTGCCAAGATTTCAAAGAGCGCCAGGGGCGGTCGGGTATCCTCGTGGTTAAGCATTCGCTCGTCACACCGAAGCCCCGGGTTCGAATCCCACTGGAATACTTCTAAAAACGGCGTAAAAACCATACTCACTCACTCAAAGAGCGTCACACGACTCTTGCTAAAAAATTGATTGATCAAGGTTACCACATTCAAGGCCTCAGTAAAGCATTCAAAATGTTTTATGGTAGACATGTGGAGGACATTTCCAAATTTGACGCATCAGTGACAAAAAAAATTGTCCGATGCAATTCCCTATTTTGACTTGTACCATATGTTCCCTTGTCGTTTCCGGTGAACAGTTGACTTGACTTTGCATGTATGTGTGACGGGTGCCACCGGTGGGTCAGGATAGGCTCATCTTTTCGCCAACACCTTGTGTCATCACTATTTGATAGTGGTTCATAAACACATACTCATGATATAGTCAGAATCCTACCATCCACTCTGCTTTATGCAGAGATTTCTATTGGATATGGAAAGGACTTTGTCGTTTTGTTGAACAGATCCTGTGAGTCGAAGAGTTGGGATTTAAATTAATCAGTTATCCTATGTATACCTAATAGATATGCAATACAATGCT